AGATCGTCCGACGACCTTCTTGGAACTCTTCAGGACAAGCTATAGCATGGCAAACAGTCAGGACACGCGTGCAAAGCTCCCTCAGGTCAGGCGCAAAAGCTTTAAGGCAGCTACCTGCAAAGGTGCTTCAAATGATGAGCGGGATCTCCCGGAGCGGGAGCCCCATGGTTTCAAGTTCCAAAGTAAAAAAGCATCCACCAGCTCAGCATTAATCCCTCTCAAGCACCAGTTGGTATTTTATGGTATTTCTTGAAAGCTGCATCTCCTAGAGCATCTAGAGCCATCATGAACCATCAACCATCTTCCTTCTGCAAGGCTCCAACTTCTTACACACTCTGAAGCAATTTCTTCAACTCTGGGGCCAAAAAAAAACGAGACTCAGGTTCCCGGCATCCAGCACAGGGATACAAAGGGAACCCCCGTTTGAGACAGTTTTGGTGGGTCGATGACCTTTCACGAAATGCCCCCACGGACCCATCCACTGCGAACATGGTCTTGCCGGGTCCGTGCGACTTTGAACATAACAACAACAAACACATTAATTAACATCACATCTATGTCAAAACAACAACAAGGGCTCCGTGCGAACATACATCTTTGTTAAACAACAGTAACAAAAACTCGGTAGAAGCTGGCCACAGGTGGCGCACCAGTACGCGCCGCCAGTCCCGCCTTCTCCTCCGACAAGCGCCGCCCGGCATTGCCCCTGCCCGAGGGGCCCCGCAGTGCATGGCCTGCTGGTGCAGTTGTAGGCTGACGAGTAAACTTAGGGTGAAGAAACACGGATAGATGATGAGGTGCCAAAAGCTTAGGATGTAGGCCTCCACGCGCAGCGATCAGGCCATGCACAGCCTACACCCAAAAGGAAAAGCTAATCTCTTGAACTAATTGAAGGTTGGCAGTGGTTTGCTCAAGGATGTGCTGATACTGCTGTTCCATCTCTTCAAGTTTCATGAAAATTTCTTTTCGCTGAACAGTTCCTGTTACAAACGTTCCATTGTATCAACATATATACTAACCCCCCCCAAATAATTACAGTAGATACAAATAAGAGAGGAAATGAAATATAATATATACCTGGATCCTCCTTTGGGCGGAAAAAAAGTGCCGGACCTCAATCCGGCAAAATTTTCCGCCGGATTCCGAAAAAAACGCCGGAGACCTGAAAAAACATCCGGATCCAAGATTCTGAAAAACAGAGATGATAAAAGGTTGGATCATACACACGGAAATTGCCTTTGCGCCGCGAGTAGTTCCTTTGGAGCACACTCGAACCTTCCCGTTCCCATTGCCCTCGCCCATCTTCCGAATGGCCTAAGAGCAGAACCATCACAAAATATAAGCAACTTGTGCCCAAGCAAATATTTGCAAGAAGAAACCAAGGAGCATGTGGCAATGAACTCATCTTTCTCTGCAACCGTGTCTCTAAAGTGTTTTTTTTTACAAAGTGGGTTGCTCTCCATGATTCTTATGCTTCTTAATGTTTCTTTAAAGCTTGCCTCAGGACGGCCCCCCCAATAAAGTAGCAGAACTCAGGGCTCCTGTCAAAACTCTTCTTTGAAAAAACTTTTCAAAGTCAAAGCCAAAGCCTGCAGAAGACTCAGTCCAAAAAAAAACCGTCGGAGTTACGGGAAATTACGCCGGAGTTACGGGAAATTACGCCGGAATTACGGGAAATTACGCCGGAGTTACGACGTGCCATTTTTTTGACAACTCTCTGCAAAACATTGAGATTCTGAACAACACATGTTCCACAGCCCAAAAAACTTGTCCGGCAGGCTCTGCAAACCTGCGCAGCTAGAACTATATCCCAGCGCCCCGACATCCTGAAACAATGGGAGTACATTTTTGCCTATGCTCTTTCAGCTTAGGTACGCCCACTTGGGTCTTTCAACATGTGCATCGCACTGTACCGGCTTCATCCGATTTCATTTAGAAGATCACCTAAACGGATCTGATTGATCCAGTGTGAACCATGCTGAAACCGATGGAATGAGAAATCAGCGGAACAGGCAAACGAGCAAACTTTGCAAACACAATCATTGCATCAGTAGTGGGTTTACCTTCAAAGAAATGCAGACCACAAAGAATGCAAAGCCTTGAGAATCCACATAAAGTGACTTGGAAAAAGCGCCGGACCAAATCCAGAAAAACGCCGGAGTTGGAAGTCCGGCGCCGGACCCTGTAAAAGTGCCGGACTGAAGATCTAGGTATATATAGATCCCCAACAAACGTCTTGGGAACAACAAACCGTGCCACGCCTACTCACTCTTTGGAAGACCACGAGATCCATACCCCTTCGATCCGTCCGCCCCGTCCGGTCCCCCGCTCCGACCGCCTCCGTCCGAGTGCTCCGAGCGCGCGGTGGTGGCCGGCGACACGGCCTCGTGGATCACGCCGCCCTGGAGCCGTGCGGAGCGGAGCCCGGTGGAGGAGGAGCTTGGAAGGGCGGGGAGCACTGAGCCAGCAGATGAAGCGGAGTGGGATTGGTGAATCAAGTGTTTGGTGGGTCTATTGGACCCTATACTGTAGGTGCCCTGAGGGTGCAAAGACCTTTCAAAGGAGCCCGTGACCTGGGATATGGCTGGGCTGGTGACCTACCTGGGGGGTCTTCAGCGTTGATTGGTGAATTGCTGCAGCATGGGGCAGCGCTACTGGATGTAGCATCTCATCCCCCTGGTTGACCCCATCAATCACTGCTGTTGGACTGGCCATAATGATGCCAAATGCCTTCGAGCAGCCTGGGCTAAACACTCAAGAACATGATAGTGGCTTCCAACATAACCACGATTGAAAGTTTCACCTGATCCACTGAAGAATTTTCCATCATCCCCTCGGTTACATGGCAGGAGTGTCTGTTCCTACCCTCACCCAGTTGGATCTGCCCAAAAGGTGATGAAACCTAACCAAACTGGGACAGTATCCACCTGCACGCAAACACAAACTGAACCAGCTAAGCTCTCATGCAATCATTCAAGAACTTCAAAGCCACCTCAACCAGTCAACCCTTCTTCCAGTCTTTGAAGGCTATATAAGATTATATAAGGCTATAGAGGTCACGAACCCCAAACCTGACAAATATCACGAAGTCTCCTAAGTCTCACCCAAAGCCTCCATGTCTGTCATCTTTGCCGATCACTTGACCCCTCAAACCACCACCTCAAACACTCCGTGTCTGGGTGAGACTTGGCCTCTCGCGCCGCGCTCAGCGTCGTCCGCGGCCTTCGCTTGGATGGCTCTCTGTAGCGTGGAGAGCTTGGCACCCACCTGGAGAGCTCCGACCGAGCCGGGTGTGTGGAGGTCAGTCAGTTCCTTCGTTCAGGTTGGCTGTTCATGTCAGAGTGCCTTTCAGCCTCAATATAGCCTTACCAAAGGTCTAAAAGCCTCAAGCTAGGCTTGGAAACACACTGAAGATACATTAGAGGGCCACCAAAGACCCATTTCATTCCACTTGTGGTGCCAAAATGCAGCATCATGGACTGCGGTCTGGTACATTCTGAAACCAACTGGCACGGACACTCATAGGCTTTTCCAATGAATGAGTCCCATGCAAACAATATATAGAGCGGAGCAGTCTTTGATTTGCTCCGACTGACGAAGCATGGACATGGAAGTGGAGGTCTTTGCGCAAGTTTTCCCCATGGTTTCCCGATAGGAACATGCCATCCACTTCCATGTGATTCCGTTCAACTGAGCGTCACTATGGCCATCAGCAATCAACCGAAACCTGGTTGAAAGGTTCAGCAAGCTTTTCTCTTGCGAAATCCAATGGCAAACAAACAAATCTGGCCGCTGGTTCAACTAAGTTTGGTCTTGAGAACCCCCAAAGACGTCCTTGACCCCCTGGATCGCGACCGAGAGAAACCTCGCCGTCTCGGCTTCGGCTTCGCCTGCTTCAGAGCCGACGAAGCGCTGTGATTCGTGTGCTCAAGGCCTTGGCTGGAACGTCCAATGCCCGGGGAGACACCCGACAGAAACGACCTGTCACGGACTAGAAATATACGCTCCAAACAGCCTGTTGGTGCCTCAAAAACCTAGGGATTTGAGATCCCAGACCCGTCATATGAGGGACCAATCCCTCCATAGCCTAATAGCCTCTGGTCCAGGAGCATCTGGATAGAATATACTGTAGGCCAAAACCACCCAAACCCCCCTCTCGGACAGGTGGGTGCACAGTGCCGGTGTTTGGAGTGGTGTGGCGTGGGCGCCCGCCCAAACCTTCCCAGCAAATATGGCAGTCCCATGGAGTGCCATGGGGCAAGTACAAAGGAAGGGGGGCATTGAGGTCTCCCTCGGAGACTCTGCGATCCCTAGGTTTTTTGAGATCGCCAGAATTTCTGCCTACCCGCCGAAACGGCCAGGGTTAGCAATTATGGCCGCCCCGTTCAGTGCCATAATGTGTTTACAAAGCAGTTCTGCAACATGAAAATGGACCATGTAGGAATTTGGGGCAGAAAACCACCACGCAATGGAGCCCTCGTTGTCCGTCGTTGTCCATCTTTTTGTCTGGTTGGTGATGTGTCTCCACCAAGTTCATCCAAACCAACAAAGCCCATGGAGGTCCGGTCCGTCCGGTCCCATCCCCTTAGGTTGAACCAGTTCATCTGAACTGCTGAAGGGGGTTATATACCCCTTTGGGTCCTTGGGCCCCGGAAGGGCATGGAGAACCCACTTCCTTCCCTTCCTCGCGCCCAGGGGCGCGCGAGCGTCTCGGAAGCGGTGCGCAGGCCACTGGCCACCCTGCGTGATGCGTGCTCGTGGTGCGCGGCGCGACGCAGGTGATGGGGATGCGCGCGGTGGCCTTACGCCTTTGGGAAGAAATGAGCCAATTGGGAAGCCGGCAGTAAGATGGCACTAAGCTAACAAAGGTTGCAGGTGAATTCACATTGTCCTAGACTCAAGCCAGCGCCAGCGGATGAATCAAAGGGTGGAGGGCGAGTTGCCTTCATTGCCTTCGCAACTCTTAGGCCACGACTGCTTGCAAGCCCCTTGTACCAGGGTCACCTGCAAAGGGCTGGACATCGAGACATCGCTGCGCCTTCGCGACTGAAAGATCATCTTGACACCGACAGTCGGGTCTCTGGTTGGTGGTCTCTGCCCGCTTGGAAAGATAAAGGGTCAGTGGGCTCAATCATTCCAAGTCAAGGCCATACCTGAAACAACCACCCAGCTCTACATGCACAGGTCTATAACTTGTTTGCATACAATATTCACTGGTCACGTTTGTACAACATGACAATTGACAGTGTGAGGAGCTTGGCCGGCAAAGTTTGACCAATGGCGGTGTCTTCTACTCAGGATAGTTCGGTTGAGCTCTTTGTGCGCTTGACACCCATGGGCATCCATGTGCCAAGGCAATCCAAGCCAGCCACGTGTTGTTCAGTGGTGCTTGCCATGGGGCGAACTGCAGGTGAGGCACTTTTCCAGGGCAGGTCAGAAGTTGGGGCGTATAATGTTGATTCCTATACGCCCCAATAATAAAAGACGCCAACCGGATGATATTTTTAATATATCCCTAGGGCTCCTCTAAACCCTCCCCAAACACCTTCTAAGAAGGTACTTGGAGCCCTAGGGTATAGGAAGATGTATCTTTTATATCGGAATCAACCGTTTTTTCTTCCTCAGGCCGACCCACATCCCATCCCTAGTCGCGGCGCAAGGCCACGCCACGCCTCGTCAGTTGCCTGGCGACTCCACGTCGGAGAGGACACGAAGAGGGGAAGAGGCGAAAGGGTTTTGGAGGGTCGGACTTCATTGAAGTCTTTGACCAATGAAGCATGTTTTGTTTGGGACAGGTTGCCAGGGCTATGTATAGGTTAGGTAGGTGACAGGTTGCTGTTTGGAAAAAAACAATGAAGCATGTTTGGTTTGTTGAATTGGAATAACCGGGTCTGGGTCGCTGGCATCAAACATGAGAGTGGCATCAAACATCCTGGTTTGGGAGACAAAGGGCTAAGTAGGACCGGACTTCTAGTTCGAATGGGTGTCTTGAACTTCTCGTGAACTCTATTCTCTATCTTGTGACAAGGCTTTGTCAGACCGCACCACCTGCGCTCAAGATCCCAGGTAGTCTGGCAATCTCCACATCTCAAGGAAGCAAGAAACACATCTTGGTTCCTAGTGAACTGCGCAAGTCACTTAGACTTGCAGCAAAGTGGCAACCACTTTGACCTCAACCTTCAAACCTCCTCAAGAATCTGACGAATTGCTTAACAGACTCCCGATTGCAAACCCAATGGTAAACATGTTTCCAGATTGCAATCCAATGACCCAGGAACTCCTGATCATCATCTGGAGGCTCCCCCCACCAAATCCCCTCACCACTTCTCCATTCCCTCCACTTCGACCCGGCCTCATGATCCTGGCAGCGGAAGGTGCTTCGCTGAACCGGATAGCACACGGGTGTGGCCCCAAGGCTGGTCCCAAGCTTCAGTAGCACAAGCACACAAGCACCCCCCCACTGCAGGCAAGGTGGCATCGGCTCAGAATGAGTCCAGCTATTTGGATGAAGCTTAGGGGCTTCTATGATCTTCTAGGTGCTTCTGTCCATTTCCCCGGCACTTTTTCTTTCAAAACAAAATCCTGGGGGTCCACGGATTGGATCCAACTCTTTCATTACCATAGGGACCGGTACGAACTTGAGCAGGTTCCTCGCTATAAAACTCAGAAGGGCTGAAGAAGAAAGACCCTTTCACCAACAGAAAGAGGCTGGTGATTGGAAGCGTAAAACAATGACCATTAGAGTCAAGGGTTGGTGATTTGGGTGTTTAGTCAAGGGTGTCTATATAACCGCGACGCGGCGACTCGTCAGTCTCCAGGTAGGTCAAACGCCACGACCAAGATTCGGCCGTGGGGGGGGTGTCTATATCTGCTATCATAGGTGTCCATAAACATTAATCAACCACATCCCACATGAACACCTTTAGATACCCTATAGGAAGCAGAAACCCACATGCTGCCACCACATGAAGAGGAGTTTCCATCAACCACGCTTTCTGTGGTGCTGCCGCATCCCACATGCTTTCCACACCCTTCACTTCGCCACTTCATGCACTCGCTCCCTGCGCCGGCCCCGCCTGGCCGTCTTCGGCCCAGACCAGGGAGAACTGCCGCAGCAAGGTCTCGCGGAGCGTGAGCTCATCGGCCAGGGGCGTGTTGGGTTCCACCACCATCGGCTTCAGCGATGCGATCTCGTCCTGGCACGCGCGATGCGCACGCGAACGCAAGCAGGGCTCAGGGCTCGGGGCAGGTGTGACGCCTGGGTGTAGAGGGGTGGTTGGATGAAATGAGTGCATGGAGAGGGTGGTTTGTGGCAGTGCGCGCATGCAGTGCTAGTGGGTGAGGGTGATTGGGCCGGAGGAGGGTGTGAGTCGAGTAACTTAATATGTGAGATCAGCGTTGGTTAGCACAAAGTTTTAATGCAATGTCTTTTGAGGAATCTAGAAGGATTAATCCTGTCACTTTTTTTAACTCCACAGAGAAATTCAGTCCAAATTCTATGATCTCTCACCACAAACCTCTTCATAAGGAACGCAAAAGAACGGTCAATCCATGGCTTAGCCGGACAAGTTGACATCCCATCCGGTCAATCCATGGGCGGCACGATCCATGCATGCTTCCATGGTCAATACATGTGCTTCTCATTGAGGCTATCTTCACATCCCATGGATGAACATCAATCCCCCTTCGTCCATTCGTCTGGTCTCGCCACCCATGCTGCGCCTGCAAACGTCGCGCCACCTCGGCCGCCGCAAAGCGGTTCGCCACGGGCTGTGTGGTCACACGACCTGAGGCCAGGTGGATGCGTGGTGGATGGCATGATGAGGAACAAAACCAACATCGCCACGATCAATCAAATAGAACCTGAGGCCAGGATCAACAACTGCCAGGGTCCCCAAACAGGTGGCTAATGGACAGCCCTGGAACCTGGGGCTATTAGTATAGACACCCCCTGAGGGGGCCCTTGGAGGTTCATTCTTTGAGCAAAACCTTTGGAGTGTCATGTTCAAGGTTGATAGCCTCAGAATGTTTCAGGTCGTTTTCGCGTTTTTTTTGTGGTTTAAGATGGCTTGGAAGGAGGAGAACGATTCCGCAAAACAGCCACAGCCACTACAGTAAGGAATTTCTCTGAAAACAAATCTGGTTCTTGTGCCAAACCTAGGACACAACTCCAAATGTGGACTTCCTACCCCTTCTCAAGGGCCAGGATTGCCAAGTTGGCACGGAACAAGCACTTGTTTCCACCTGCACCTGCTTCTTTCTGTGGCACCACTCTCTCCTCCCCAGCTCCGCACGTCGGCGCGGGAGCGCGCTCCGCGGTCTGTTTTCTCTCCCCTTTTGGGCGCTGCTGGTCGTCCGCGGGCGAAGGCTCGGGCTCGCCGCGGCGGCGCGGACCCACGATGCGGCGGAAGGTGAGGTTGATGCGCGGCGTGGAGCAGGTGGGATCCTCAGTGCTTCCCAAGAGAGGTAGCCAGTGACCGGGACCATAGAACCCGTAACCTGGGGTACCGAACTGGGATAGTCTATAGGGTCATTCAACCTCTGGTGGAAGTTGGGCACCAAAACATTACCCCCATGGATCCACATACCTTCTCAGGTATGGTGATTGGAGACTATTTATGTAGGCTTGGGGGACCCAATTGCCTTCTGAGAAGGTATGTGGATCCATAGGGTTACTGAAGAGTGAACAACAACCAGTGCCACTGGCCCTGGAGAAGCTGAGGACAGGCATTTTCTTTTCGAGCTCCAGCTGTAGCTGCTCTTCACTGCCATGAGCCAGTGGGGCTTTCATTGGTCTACCACTTTGACCACAGTCACCTTACCCAACCCCAAAGCCTTCCACCGGCCTACCCAAGCCACCATGGATTGACTCAACCAAACCCAGCAGAAAAAAAAAAAACACTATAAACCAGGACCTTCAAAAGGGGACCTTTTGAGATCCTAGAATGAGGTCGCCTAAAGATCTGTACAAGGTCACTGAGAGACATTAGAGACTGCAAAGAGGTTGGGCACGAACCGATCCAGGTCCCATGTATTGACTCACCTCGCCGTTCGATCAATGCAGGACCCAGGACGAACCACTTGTGTCCGCGTCTCTGCAGGCAGCGAGTGTTGCCACTTCGCCTGCATGGCGCCTCGCTGAGAGCTGTGGAACACGGGCGACCGGTTGAGAGCTGTGGAGCGCCCAGCAATCAGGGGGGTTTCTCCAGGTGCCAACGTGAAACGGAGGGAGACCCTGGTGGGTGTTGGGGGAGGGGCATGAGGGTTCCAGTAGACTCCTTTGATGACTGTTCCATTCGAGGCTTGGCCTTTGCAAGGTGCGGTGAGTCACACCTGTTTGGGTCCTGACATGGAAGCCATGCCATGCCTCGCCTGCCATGATCAGCAGGGAGCCCGGCTGCAGCCAAATCCTTCGCCGCTCCTGAGCATTTCCTGCAGCAGGGCAGGCGCATCTTCTTTGTTTCAATGCGGTTATACTTGGAAATTTCCTGGGCGTGTTTTGGTGAAAGTTTTTTTTCACATTCTCAGTGCTCAAGGAAACACACTCCCTTGATTAACCAGGCCAGGATGAGCTGGAATTTAGCTAGAGGACCAGAGCTTCCTCTTTGATGACTTGTTTCCTCTTTGACCCCCCCCTGAAGGGACTGGCGTGCAGTGGATGGACCCAATTATATACATGTGTTTCCGATCCATGCCCTTGGGTGGCCGAATTACATCTGTTTCGAAAAGCCCAGTCAGTTCCAACAGGTAGAACCAAGGTGGCGAAACGGCCCATCAACTCGGTCGGTCCCACCGGTGCAATTCGGGTAACACGACCCATGGACTGCCAGGACGGACTGCCTTCAAAACGGCCAGGGGTGGTTGAAAAGAGGTCAAGGTAGATAAATATGGCAGTCCCATGGAGCATCTGGGTGGGAGAACCCCAAAGAACTTCTTGGGGCCGTTTCATGGTGTTTTCCCCCGAAATCACTCCAGATGGACATGGCCCGAAGGAAGCCATGTGTGAAAGGCCGACCCAGAGTGAGCAAGGCACCGAGAAACACGACCCCCAACAAAAGCGAGCCCACCCGCCCAAGCTATTTGCTTAAATAAGGAACTTGGAAAAATACAGCACATTTTCCAGAAGAGGATTTAAACATACCCATACACTCCATGGGACTGGAATATATGCCTATACATATTGACCCGCCTGGCACCACCACGACCCCAAGGTAATTAGGCATAAATATGGCCGTCCCATGGGTCGTCTGGGCATAGCTACTAGTAGCTAACTAGTAGCTGGCCTCCACCCTAGAGAGCGAGGCCAAGAGATTTACCCAATAGGGTTTCGTCACAACATCACCTGATCCGCTTCTCAGGCCAGTGTCGCCCGTCGCCCTTGCGTGGCGTCCGCCGGAGTTCGAAGGGTCGTGGGGCGCCCAGAGAGACGGAGCCTGGGAGGGACGGGGTCAGGAAGGGACCCCCAAATCGACTGGAGTTCAACACCCAAACACTCCATGTATGCCATATATGCCTACATTGGAGTGGTCTTATGGGGTCAATGTAGGTAAATATGCCATACATGGAGTGTTTGGGACATATCATAAACACTATCCCAGACGCGACACATGGGACTGGTATATATGCCCATCAGTTGGGGTGGTGCCAGGGGCGTCAATTGATCGGCATGGCATACATGGAGGGTCTGGGTATATACTCAATCAAAACTGAATCAAAACACCACTCAATGAGGTTTTCAGGGCCAGGCTGTACTGGGTCCCACTGGACCTGTAGGGACATATGTAGAGAGTTGGGGCGCATGGAACCATTTTAAGTTCAAGCACCCCTAAAGAGACACATGTAGAGAGAACATCGCATGGAAGCACAAGGCGTGCTTTATGTTTGTGACTAGAAGTGCAAGGTGCACGGTGCTTCAGGGGTTGGCGGATGAATCATCGATCTGATCACACACACCATCTCACCCCAAAGAAACACGTAATCTCCAGCATGCAAGAAAATGAGATTCCAGCAGGACCCAATGCAGGGCTCAGCAAACTGATGACCCTCCCATGGATCTTCATCCATCCAAAATCGAAAATCCCATCCTTCCAGTCCCTCCAACCTTGGTGGCTTGGCCGCATTTGGCCGGCGAAGTCGGCTAAGTAGCCGGTCTCCCCGACAGCTCCTATCCCACGGCCCCCCCCCCCCAACGCGGTCGGCCAACCGATGACGATGCGCTCGGCAGGACCATAGCAGTTCCTCGGAGAACAGAAGAAGCGTCGTTGGTGAGGGGGGGTGTTACTGCAACGAGGCCAAAAGGTCATTCTATAACAGATAAGATTGTAATTTAAGGAATCTGGGACTTGCTGCAATGAGGTCAAAAGCTGACTCACTGTATAAGGAATGTGGGAAATGTATGGAATTGTGCTTCTTTAACACATGCTGGAAGAATGAAGAAGAATAAGTGGCCGATGCGCATCAGACCGGGGGAAGGCTTGGAAAGACCAATGGATTGGAATGCCAATTATATTGCCTGTCATGTCTGATGCCTTGCTCTTGATCTTTCTTTGTTTGTTTCATTCTTTCTTCCTTTCCTTCCTTTCCTTCCTTCCTCTTGTGAATAAGCAGGCAGCAAAGCTGCTCCCTTCCTACAACCCCGCCTTCAAGCAACCAACAAGTCCTATAGTGGTTTCAGATGCTTCACGCCTATTTTTACGTATCGCACCGTACATCCGGATGAAGAACCCTACATCCATGTCCGACCGCTTTTGGATGCACATTCGCATGGGGAACCCCGAGAAAAAAAACAAAAGCAAAAACACAACTGAATTCGCTTGTTTTGAGGTGCTCGTCGTCGGCATGCCACTTGATCTGAGCCCGTCCATCCAGGTAGAAGTTCACCAAGACCTGGGACGAGGTCTTGCGACGGAAAACACCAATCACACCCAGCCAAGCTGTTTCACTAGAGTCACATGTCGGGGTGCCGAACAAACATCCACTATCATCCACTCACTTAGGGCCTAGAGGGCCTATAGAGTTCTAGAGGGACTCAACAGCACCCCTTTTGGTGACTGGAAGCTTCTCACTGGAAGCTGCGGAGGGTCCGGAGGGGCCGTGGTCCGTTGTCCGCATCAAGAGGGAGCACTACAAGCATCTCCACCATCTTCGCAACCAGTGGGGCCAAATACCACTGGAGCCAGATCTTCTAGGATCATGCCAATTACCATGGTCAAACCAGTGGAGCCCAAGAGCAGTGGAGCCAAATGTAAAAGGATCTTCTAGGAGATATCATATCCTCGCTCCCCAGGGCTACCTCAATCTGTACACCGACCCAAACACCCGAGCTTCTCCGCCGCCGGCTCTGCCTGAGCGACGCCAACGACTGCTGTCAAGGTGCACTGTTGAAGAAGGGCTCGAGCTCGGACCCAAGGCTCTCTGCTTGCTCGCTCAGCCCATGAGCAACCTCTCCTTAACTGGTGCAACTGGACCGACCAGCTGCTGTTAGTGCCCAGGAGTTGCACTCTCAAAGCTGCAGTAGCTGGGAATAGCTGGGAGGATCACTCTTGATGAATGGGACAAGGAATTTGACCCAGATCCTCAGGCTGTATCTGAATCCATCACGCACCATGTGCTGAGGTGACCTGAACTGCTGCCCAGGAACTGCACTCATCAGGCAAACCCTGTAAGGTCCGCAGTGTCTCTTCTTCAACCCTCTCCTTGAGGTACAGCACCTCCTTCGAATTCCTCGCGAACATGTCGCTCGCAGGTGGTGGGTGGATTCTGGTGCTCGCAGCCGGTGGAGGCCATCAGTCTATAGACTCGGGCGCAGGAGGCACCGGCTTGTGCCGTCGCCAAGTCCACAGTTCCGTATGACTCCCTCCATCTGTTTATGTTGAGTGGGGAAACCAATTAATCCCCCCCAACAGAAAGGTTAAAGTATGTTAAAGGTTATCCATTGACAGGGTAGGCTTTGCTGCCCAATGGCTAAATTTATGTAAATGAACTGTTGACAGTACTTATATAACTTCTTTCTGTCTCACCTTCTATACAAGACAAGCAACTTCCACTGAGGCAAAGTGTCATAACTTACCCATGCTTACCCTACACCATCCATGGGACTGGCATATTTACCTATAGACCCCTCGAAGCATCAGAACAATTGACCCCGTCGGCCTGACCGGCCACTTGTCCAGTAGTGGATTCTTAGATATAACGGTGTCGCACCCGCGGAACACCGGCGCCTGTCCGGACCCCTTACCATCCTCCAAGCGGCTCATCCTCCAAAGCACGACCAGCCAGGCACCAGCGGGGGTTGAAGCGGAAGTCGCCCTGAGGAAGGGGGCCAAGCACCACACGTCACCAGCGTGGCCTGATCCGCTGGGTGTTGCAGAGGGGGAAAGCCCTGAGGCCTCAATCGCCCCCCGCTCGGCGGGGTAGACTGGTCTACTTTCCGAACCAAGGCCGAGGTCGAGGCTTCAGCAACTCCCGCAAATGGATGCAAATGCGGCGGACATTGGTCCCAGAATCCCTGGGGCTCCTGTCCCGTATCCTCCTGGCACCCACCCCAGTCCCATCTTCTCAGGAGGTGGGCCAGCCCTAGGGAATATGCAAAAGAATTGATCAAGGGAAGTCCTGGGATCTTCACACGGCTTCTCCACCTTTCTCACCCACCGAACCAAGGCCTTCCCAAAGCTCCCGCTGCCATAGAACTGAGCCCGGTCGTTCTCACTGGAGGAGTCCTGATTCACGTTCGCATGTTCAGGCCGTTCAGCGACTTTGCCAAGAGAGAGAGAGTTAGCTGACCCTCCAGATCTCCTCCTAACGAGGTGATCAAGCACTTCCCTAGGGCTCCTGTCCCATACCCTCAGGTTCGGTGGTTAGACCCCTGGCACCCACCTCCACCACCTTCTCAGGAGGTGGTTGTAGCCCTAGGGCTTGATCACTTTATTACACTGCACTGTCCATGTAGTGATAGCGTAACATGTTTCTATATCATGCGCTATGGCAATTCACCACATCCCATGACCCAACCACATCCCCCACCCGCAGCCTTCGGCGGTGCCGGCACGGTGGCCAGCAGCCTCTGCAGCGTCTCAGCCAGTGCAGTGTAGCAGCTAGTGGCGCTGGAGGGACTCTCCAGGAGCTGTGGCAGGTAGCACCTGTAGACAGGCGATCCAGCCCTTGGAGTTGGAGTTGAACAGCACCTGTCTAGTCCATCCATCCAGCCTATGTACGTACTACAGGGTCCATCCTATGGTCTCTCAACCTCTCTTGGTTGGAATTGATGAGGGAACGGCCTCCAAACCCAAAGGCATCCATTGGATCAATGGTCTACGAAACAACGAGCTCGGAACACTTCAATATCCCAGACGCGACCCATGGGACTGCCATAGGACTGCCGATCAATTGACCCCCCTGCCACCACCCCAACTGATCGGCAGTCCTAATTATGGCAGTTTCATGGGTCACGTCTGGGTATTGGTGATTATTGGATCTTGGGAGGACCTTCTTTGTCGTCGCCCTCGCCCTTGCGCTGGCACCTTACCGGGGTACGAATCACCTGGTCACATCTCACTTGTTGGAAACAACGAAGATCGCCGAAGCATCCTCCGAATGACTCCATTCTGCGGCACGCCCTGTACAGCAAACACTATATGTTCCATGCTGCCCAAAGGTCGATGTCCGCATGCCTGCTGCTACGTCCACCCATCCGACCCCCAATAGGGACCACCTCATAGGACCTCTCCGGGACCTGCAGCACCGCATGGGGAGCGCATTCTCCGAGCGACATCACGCTGTCCTCATCCAAGCGCAGCGTGAGAGGCTCAAGGCCGTCATGGCACACGGGCTCGCCCACCTCGCTGCAGGTCGTCCTCAGCATGATCGTGGAACAGTTCATCTCTGCTGAATTGAGAGGTGTCGTGGAACAGTTTGTGAGCTCACATGTCCACCATGCGCTCCCTCCAAACCCTATAGGGCTCCAGACGTACCTCTAAGGAGGAGGTAGGTCTGGACACTCCAAACCAAGCCCAGTCCCAGGTGTAGGCAGAGAAACACCAGACCCCTTTAATTGCACTGACCCAAGGAACATCGCTGCATCAAAGGTTGCCCAGTCAGAGGCGCCAGATCGCGCGCCATGTAGTAGCGCCAGTCGGCGCGAAGAGGCTTTTGATTTTCTTGCGGTGGTGGGGTATCTTTGAATGTCAAACACCTTCCACGCGTCTTGAGTTGTATGGAAGGTCCACCTACAAAGTTCACTGTTCACCGCACCCAGATCTACACCTGGATTTGCCATGTGTTTCATGTTTTCATCCATTGGCAAAAAAAGGGAGGCTAGTCACATGTTCTCCTGAAGGGGACCATGGAGGCAACAAATTGGCTGTGACGAACCTGAGAAGGACAATGTAACCTTCCTTCCTCAGCCTGACAAGGATCCCCTTACAAACGAGCTGGTGTTTTCAGTGGCACATCTTCCTTGCGACATGAGCACTTGAGGGCCTCAATGGCTCCGATAGCACGAATGCAACTGTAACCAAAAAGACAATGCATTTCCAGAACCCAAAGACCTCCGGAGCGCCAGCAACTTGACAGAGTTTCATGGGTGGAGATCCATGAAACTCACGAGCAGGGCATAGACTTCAGCTTCATTCAGCGCAGCTTCCCAGCGGTTCAATCTGTCAATCAAGATCACAGCGGTGTCGTTTGAATGCCATGCACATGTTGCAACTGGGAAGACGCAGAGCAGAACTCTCACAAACACATTGGAATGTGTTGAAAAAAAAACAACCCCCGAGTGCCCCGAAGAAGCCATTAGAGCCAACTAACTAGAACATCTTGAATGCATAAATATATCAAAACATCATGACTCTCTCTTCATGTGATTCATGTGCGTTACAAAACAAAGTTTAAAAACAAAAAGAACCTGCAGGGCATCATTGAGAACCATCGGCGATGCCATCTGCGGCTGGGCGCTAGTCTGCGCACCGGGTTCCCACGCCAGCGGATTCCAAGAACCGGCAGGTCAACATGTTCTCATCGAAGCCTCCCACCACGAACGATGGAAGGACCGCGGTGCGCGTGCAGCGCGGGGTGCGAAAACAACCTGGTTCACCTGGTTCAGCCAATTCAATTGAGCAGGTGGCTGGCTCTTTGGAATCAAAGCATCTGGCTTGCGCCTCCAAGGGTTGGGGTGAGGAAGACGCAACGTTTTGAGTTGTTTCCTCCCTAAGAATGATCTTCAAGGCAAAGAAGTGGACCTCTTGAGAACAGGAAGAAAAAACTTAAACCATCTTAAACCAACATGTCCATTCCAGACTGATGACCAGCTTTGTTGCACCATGACCGTTCCATACCCATCTTCAGCATGCACCGCCTGTCTGGTTGCGCCCGCCTGTGGGGCTGGGCGTCAGAGTGGCCAGCAAAGTGGTCCGGCTGTTGCTGGAGAGGCTGTCCGACAACCTGGAGGTCCAATAGGGGAAAACAATTCATGGATGACTTCTCTGTCCAGTTGATTCTCGCAAGAAATGATCTCATCTCAACTCAAAAAAGTGTTCAATGCAATAGTGAATCGCACACCTATACCCAGGCCCAGCGCGCCCTACCAACCCCCGTTGAACCGCTATACCTCTACCATGCGGGTCTCTACCGTTCCAGACCGCGGGTTCTCCTGATGTAGCTGAGCTCCGGGCAGCATGGTGAGCTTGGAGTTCCTGGAGTCACGTTGGAAGACGCATGGCCTTCCTGAGGTTTGGCACTTATACCAGACTACATGCGACTGCTGGCGAAACATGGCGAAGCTGGCGTTTATATATGCAGAACTACCAGGAGTCACAGAGCTCGGGGTGGTGTGAAACGTCCTCTTACGTGAGTGGATGTAGCTGGGCACTCCGACTACCTCCATGGATCGCACCCCTGACCTCTGACTGCTGGTATAGATCTCTAACAATCCACCATACCCTCTGAGGTACGGTGATGTGTTCGACACTGAGACATGTAGGTGCAAGGAGGGTCCAGGGTGCACTGGTGTGTAGACAGGTTCGGTACGACTGGATCCCTAGGGAACAGTAACTGTCTTCATCTCTTGAAAGCCCCCCCCTATCACCCCAATTCTCAGCCCGATTCTCGTGCCTGAAAGGCACGTGCTCCCGATTCCCATCGCAAAGGGCGGAGATGCAGTTGGCCAACTCAAAAAGGCTCCGGTTGATGAACCTGCCCAGCATCTCGCTGGCTCTCAAGGGACTGGATGTGACATATCTATACATCCCACGTGGGGCTGCATCTAGGTCAAGTTCACCTACCTTTGATGGCTTTTGGACACAAAAAGGTCCTATATGTTTCACGAGTGCCACTGCGACTGGCCTTAAGGATCAACACCTCACATCTGACCCGCCTGAGCTCCCGAAAGCGCTCGTCCTTGCACTCCGAGGTTTGCTCGTTCTCCCTTCCCGCCAGGTCCACCACCTGGACACACCGACCCCCCAACGAGCGGACGGACGTGTGGACGACCGTGGTCCGGTGCAAGCGGTCGGGAATGGTCGGGCCCTTGCTATTGTGGAGGCTTTTCAGCTCACTCCTGCCACTCGTCCATGCAGGAACTCATTCAAACCAGACCATGGCTTTGCACTAAAAGAGGAGGAACCAAAGGTGATAAGCCTGATAAGCAGTCAAAAAAACACCCAGCATGTGTGAGCTACAATCACCCCGTAGTCAAGACCCTTTTGGTCTTTCATTGATGCTTTCACACATGTCACACACTCCCCGCAACAACCATGGCTGCGGACCCCGGCATTCGAATTTATTATGGTCTTTCCAGGGGTCCAACAGTCCACTTCCATAGTTTGTTGCAGGGAGGGTAAATCATTCTTCGGCCAATTGTGTGGAGTACCTCATCCACCCCAAATCCCCAATCCTCCCACAACATCCACCACACAGCTGCTGCACACAAACGGCCGCAGCTCACACCTGCATCGTGGAGAGGCTGTTGTGCCCGGTTCCACGTACTTCCACCTAGCGCTGTTGTGACAATGCCGCGGTGGTCGTCCTCATGAATAGATGGTTGCCCATCTTGATCCATCTTGCATCTTGCTCTCACAACTGGTATAGATACAGTTTCAGAACACAGTTTCTTCCAAATGAAGATGTCAACCGAAGGAGAACCAAGAACTTGTCCTATGTCTTATGGCCAGTAACAATGGATGATGGATGGTATTAGTAAAAAGTATTAAATGTGATAGCATTCTACTGACTCTTGCTGGTATATAAGTAACGGGGCACAGCATATAGATCTAGTTTCAAAAACAACGGTGACAAACAGGTTGGAAGCAAATGGACTTCATTCACCAGGATGTATGTATTGCCATTCACCTCTTTCTGAGCCATCACCGGGCCCTCACCAACAAGAAAACAACAACCCCCCCTGCCACACAGCTTCGCGCCTTAAAGGAGAAAATGGTATGAGAGCGGCTGGAACGGTTATTCATGGTGGTACTCGCGAGCGTCAGAAACTGTGCCAGACTGTGCGACTGCCAATGCCCCGAACAAGCTAGTCAACCCGGAACTTCCCTGGTGGTTGTGGTTACTCACCCTACCAATGATTGTAATCCTAGCTCATGCACAAATATGCACAAGGGCGATCCTTTTCCACTCATGACCTTCAATCAGTGCGGTACAAGGAATGCTCATGTAGCTGACGGACAAACTATGGTATATTTCAGATGGTTGGACGATGATGATTCAGGTGCTATGTCTCTGCCACATCCCACATCCAATGCTCTATCACTGTGCTGTCCTTTCGATCTTCTTTGCGCGCTCGCCTGGCATGGGCTGGGTTCAGTGCTAGAGTCATGCATGAGCCCCAGAGTTGGTGTATGTAAGACGAGAAAATCCAAAACCATATGAAACCGTATGGTGTTCTCCGTTCAACCAATTCAAGGAACAAGGCAAATGATCATGCACATGTTCCGAACTCCGCCTCGGGCGACGTGCCGCGCGACGTCTCGGAAGCTTTCCACTGGCAGCTCCTGGCGGGCGAAGAACGACGGTGTCGTTTCTGGAGCACGGAAAACTCCATCTGGATTCCACCAGGGACATAACAATATACAAACATGAATCTTTCCTCAGGAGAAGGCTTCACCCAAAGATTCCAAGAGTCCTGTTCTGAATGTTCACCACAAAAAAAAGTTTGGGTCCACGAACACTGCCCAAAGTTCCATTCATTCCACTGACTGCGCCCTGGCAGAGGTTCTAACTCACGGCAGAACTCTCTCGGCCTGGAGATTCTCCACAAAGACTCCAATCTCCGGATGTGCCCGGACTTCTAAGCCTTTCCCTGGCGGGTGGGGCCGAGCTCGCTCTTCCGGGGACACATCGATCATTCCACGGAGTGCACGGTGTATGACGCAAGTATAGCAAGTGTAGCTCCTGCCCCCGAACCCATATATACCATACAGATTACTGTAGATATGATATACATACAAGCATATACAAACAACATTTTGCTTGGGAAAACCAAGTTTTTGATGGTTTGTGGGGCCCCTGGTAGCACCTGCCCGGACATGTGGATAAAGAAGACTTAAAACGTCTGTGGTCTGTACCAAAGCCCCGTCTCTGCATAGCCACAAAAAGCGTTAAGGCGTGGGCCATTACTCGCACCGACCGTGGGTCCTGGCATTTGCTTGCAGAAGACTGTCCTCCTCTACAACCCCGCGGTTTTCAGGTTCCATGTGGGTCTCTTCCTTCTCGTTCTGGGGTCTGGAAGAGACCCACAGGCAAGAGACCCACAGTGATACACCCAGAAGGGTTTCATCTTCTTTACTTCTCTCACCTCAGGTCTATCTGAGATCGGACCTCATCGAAGCATCTCGTCTCGACCCGGGCGCGTCCAGGGAATTCTAGGGAAGGCGGGGGGGTTGTTGATTCAAATAGGGGAAGCCCCCTCAGCCAACTTCCCTGCAAGACCCACTAAGTGGAGGGATTCCCTAGATCCAGTCGTACCGAACCTCAGAAGGTACGACTCGAGCCTCTCCTGGCACCTACATAACAGTGCCTCCAAACACATTCTGAGAATGTACTTGGATCCCTAGGGATATATCCCCCAAACACGCTTTAGAACCGATTGAGCCACCCTCCAACTACAAGTCTGTGACTGTGCTTAAACCGTGCTTAACCCATTCAAATGTTCACTGAGAACATCTATCAGCTCCAGCTTTGGGATGCTGGAGCGCTTGGTTGGGCTTCCTCTTCCTCTTCAACGGCACAAAAGCGGCGCTCGATCCACACCTCCCAAGGCTCCTTTGGTCGAGCGGGGAGAGCCTCGAGGCGCGGTAGGTGGGCGGCGAAGAGGGTCGACTTGTTGGACTGCCATCCTTCGACGCGATCCTTCGAGTGCCATCTGAGACTAGTGCCGTCGGGGCGGCTTGACGTTAGTTAAGTCATAGAAAGTGCCCGACCATTTTCATGGAAACCACGACTTCAAGTACCATCTGAACATGAGCCCATCGAAACCGTTACTTGGCAAGGTATGGTCCAAAACATACACTCTGGAGGGTGATCTTAGTAGAACAAACACTCCAGCTCAACAGACAGCTTCAACTGCCCCAGCCACCGCCCCAGCCACCACCTTCGACCCCCTTCGACTGGGTGCTCCCGACTCTCATACTCCATGCGGGTGCCCGAGAGCAAGTCCCTCAAGCGGTCCTTATAGACCTGGATCCCACGTCGACGGCAGAAGCAGCTTGGCAGGTGAATGCCGGGTGAGGTGCCTCAACACCTCCAATGGTGCCAGGTATGTAGTATAGTATCATTAGTCCTCTTTGACCCATCCGAGGTTCTGGCCACTGGCCCCAATTAATTGCATGGGCATGTTTTCAAGAATGAACACCTACCTCACATAGGTGTCCAAAAAAAAACAATCTTCCAAAAGCTTCTTAATCTAAGGTATACTAAGGGGCAGCTTTTGGGGGACACAAATGCCCGCTCACAGCCATCTTCACAACCATTGATATGAAGGAACATCAATGTGCCTCACAAGAACAGCTCGACGCGAAAGTAGCAGCCAGCCACAAGTATCCACAAGTCACAAAAGTCCTCCTCTACAGTGGTTTCAGAGTAGATTGCGCATCCCCAAAAGGGTGTCTTTTTTGGTTTAAGACCACCATATAAAAGATTGGGTCTGTGCCATCTATTCTGAAACCACTGTAAAAAAGAAATGGGAAACGCAAAGCATTCGCATCGAAGGAATGATCGCGCGCCTCGACATATGAAATGCGCACTCGCCATGTGTCACCTGCACGGGTCAACATGTGGGAAACGCTTCTGATACCAACCTGGAAACCATTTGACCTCTGTTTTGATACGAAAAGAGCATCTGTTGAATGGTTGGTGGTCCAAAATAGAGGTCATTCAGGTTCCAGGGATGCATGGTGAGATATGGTGAGGAGCCACGGGGAACCATCAACTTGAGCGCTCGCGAAGAGGTAGCTTCAACGATTGCAAAAATAACAGGTAATCTTGACAAGGCATCTAGAAGAACCAATAATACTTGATGATACTTGCTTGTAGACTTCTAGATAGGTTGATGGATAAACTCATTCGAGGGAACCTGCTGTACACCAAAATAATACTCACATTGGGATACACGGATCGATGCACTAAGGAACAAAGATAACACCTGTTTCGCACGAGCAACGACTGGACCAATGCAACCTGGTCCCTTCAAGTTAGTTCTTGTTTTAATTCTATTGTTGCTAATAGCTTCTTGTTCCTAGTAGTATGGCCAGGAGCCCCGTTCGTAGCGTTCTTGCTCCTAGTAGCGATTCAACTTCGGCACATCATCTAAATATCTCAATTCCTCTGCTCGCTCCGCCGCCACTCCGCCGGTGCCTTCGGCCAACTTCCCCAGGCGGGCAAACAGGCCTGGCGCGAAGCGGTGAATCCGGCAGAGCGGGGAGTCCGGCGGCGGGGACCTCGGCCAGGTCAGGTGACAAGGCACCTGGTGGGTCATGGCGCCGGGGGGACCGACCGGTGGACGGAATCGTCTACTCGACTGGTGGCGGAGGTCAGCCGCCGCCAGGAGTTCCTGCCAGGTGCTCGGGATGCCAGGTTTGTGACCAACGCGTGTTTTGAATCGACTGTGTGTGTGCCCAGAAAATGGGGCAATCTCTAGGGATGAAAGTAGCCTGCCAGCCAAGCGAGGTATGAAGTAACACTACTTAAAAATTGGCTACTGGGGTTTCATTACAACACTCTCCCCGTCTCTCTCTCTCTCTCTCTCAGCCCCTTTTGACGTTCATTTCTTTGGAATCCACTCTCTTCGCACCTGTAGTAATAGGGCCACCCGTTTCGAACAACCCCCACATGAACCCCTGCTTTGAGAAAAAAAACAACTTATGTTGGGCGGTTAGTGATCCAAAATAGAGGTCACTAAAGTTGTGGGTGCAGTATATAATTTGTCGAGTCATGTAAGCCTGGAGTAGGTGGTGTATAGTTGTGTGGCATATGTATACATATTGCCCCCTTGATGGACCTGAAATGGACCAGTTGTTGCTTCCACCTGCCATTGGTCCAGTGGAGCCTGTAGGTCCGTTCTAGTTCTAGGTAACTCTGGGCTAGTGTTCTTGGAAGCCTGCTATCCATGCATATATAAACAAATCTCCTAATTGAATAAACAAGTGCAGCCCATGTAAGCTTGGCTCCTGCACGTCCTTACACATGCTGACATCAAGGTTCCATGTCTTTCGACACCGACCGCATCACTTCGACCCTGCGAACCCCCGTGGCCTTCGGCGATGCGCGGCAGTAGTCCACGATGCTCGTGGCTTTGCCAGTCGCCGTGGACGGTATGCGTCTTCCTGGAGAACCACACGCATCGTTTTTTCCGATGAACATGGATTCTGAAATGGACTCTCTGGCCCAGTGAGACTCAGTGAGAATGAGGCTGCTTTGGATGGCTTTGAAGTATCTCAAAGAGATTGTCTTGTAATGTCCTGTAGTATGTTTCAGGGTGCATTTTTCAGGGTCTAGAGCCTAGGACTCTTTGAAGTTCCTTGCCAGGCAGCCTGTGCAAAAAGGAATGGCCCAAATGCAAAGAGTCTTTCTTCTTGTGGCGCAGTGGCACAGAACCCAGTCCAGTTCTGAAGTGAATCTGAAGCGGATCTGCGGTCTCCAGAGATTTCTTCCAGGTGACAACATACACAGGTTTGGCCCCCCTTTCCGCCCAAGAAACGTTTATATATGTCTATGTTCTTTAAACATGTATATATATGTTGAAAGATATTGCACAGCAGCCTCATGTCATGAGCAATCATGATGGGCAGTCGTCAGCTTCGGCAGCAGCTAGGCTTATAGCTGTCTAGGACTCACAGAATCCCAACGGAACAAATCATGAAAGTGGGTGGCATAGCCCCCTGCTTGGATGACCATATATCATCCAAATACCAGGCAGGTGGTGAACTCCACGTAACTATGATTCTTCCAGGGGTAATTTCCACGTCTCAGCCGCTCGGTTTTCCAAGGGACAGCACTGAGACTGGGGTGACCATTTTCCTCTACAAACAGGTTCAGGTCTGAGTCTGGGGGATGCAAACCCACCAAGGACACTTCATCCATCTTCATCCAACAGTGCTCCACCCAGAATACCTTGGGGCGCCCTGCCCTGTGCCCGTCTGACCATAGGCCACCAGGCAGCAGTTGTAACCTGTCGAGCCGATTCATGCGAAGGGGTTTGGGTGCCATGCTCAAACAAACACACTGAGCAGCTTGGCATGGGCTCATCAGCAGCTCCAATAGCCGCAAAAAACCAAAGGACTTACCACTCTCACGTCCGAGGACATCTCGAGCATCTCGGCTTGATCACCGCGCCTGTCGTTCCGTGCATCACCATGTCAGCACCGACGCCCTCGAAAATGGTACCTGAATCGCAAAACACTCCATGCATGTCTATATTTTGACGCATCTCGTGACCTGCAGGTGATGTTACAATGATTCCACATGTTCCCATAAACTGGAAAGGGAGGGCCTGCCCCCTGGCGCAGGATGCTTGGAACACCTGCATGTAGCAATTCGTGCCGAGGTTAAGTCGGTCAAACGACTATTGTAGGGTGTTTCAATGTGGTGTTCAGTATATTGGGTTGTTCATACGTGCTCGGTGCATCAAGAAGGAACTTGCTTGCCAACTTGAGACTTACCAACACACTGTGCATGGTCCTGGTGAAAATCATGTGCCAAATGTTTTGGACTCATGTTCATAATCATATGGCTTGGGGGGAGTGCCCTCCCCATCTCCCCATTGGCTATTGAGAGTTCATAGTCGTCCCACACTAGGCCACTTTCACTATGTGCTGTCTTAATGATCTTAATGGAAGGGAACCGATTCGATATAGTTGGGGCAACTGAAGCCGAGCTACCTCAATCCCAAACGCTCCATGTAAGCCAACAATATGACCTATACATGTACCACAAGAATAACGACTTACACGTCGGCCATATAATGGACCATATTTGCATGCATGGAGCGTCGGAAGGTTGGTTGATGAAATTCTTGCTTTGATTGGGTGGACCAGCTGCGAAGTCGATCTGAACTCATGAATCAAAAGGATTTACAAAAGCACACTTGATGAATCGATGAAGCAAAGAAAACAAACAGCACGTCCGCGAAGCTTCTGCAACTTGTTGGAACTATCCTCCCCATTTACAATTTACAACTATACTGCAACATTGGCTCAACAAAACCTCCACACACTTCACCACAGGTCGAGGTGTTCCACGCTTCATCACCGATTCACCCCACAGTTCGTTCACCGCAACCACCGATGTCCACGACATCCCGTCATGACATTAGGTGCGGAGGGTCACTTTGGTCGGCGTACTGGGATGATTGTGGTTGACCTCAGTCGGTGATGGACCGCGAAACACGCGCTCCGCAGCGAGCTGACCACTTCAATCAGTTGCTCAATAATGAGAGGAGGTGTGGACCATGACCACTTCGGCCACTGAAACTAGCGGCCTCCTCAACTGACAGTCGCCTCTTCAGGTCTTTTCACCCAACTCAGGTTCCAGGCTTGAGTCGAAGGCAAAGGTGCACTCGAAGTCCCGCCCAGGTTGATTAGGCTTCTGGCACTGAACGTGGTTGTTTCCCGCGCTTGTGGAAGGAAAATCGGACTAATTTTATCACACGCCCTGTGACATATCATGTGGTGAAAAACAAAAGACCAACCATAAAGTAATTTTATAGTTGCATTTGGTTCTGGTTGGTGACCGATCTTGAGCGACCGATATGGTATGATACAACATGATTTATCTCTATCCTTCTGCTTCTTCTCCACCAACCAATTGCACACCATTCTTGCATTTCTATATTCATCACCGTTTGTGACCACACTGCAGCCACGAGAGACAGGATGTTCCCAGGTAGCAAGCTGACTCAATCATCTGGACAAAGGCTGCATTGCTTTAAGGGAACATCTGCAGGAATCCATGGTAGATGTTCTCTTCAACTGATTTTGTCCATAACCATGCAATAATTAGCGGCCCTTGACTGATCTCCACCTAAGGATGATTGCCAGTCCTGGAGCTGAATCCGGGGGATATTGATCCGACACAAAATGAATGGTGCCATGTACAGCGATCTTCTTGGAACCAAAAGCCGCCCGCACCCAGCATGTTGCGTCCTCAGGATCGTGAAGTGTCACATGACCATCAGGCTTCATCTGCGGCGGGGCACATCGGCTAAAGGCACAGGCACATGGACGCTCCGAACTCGTATACGAACTCGGTGGAAGACAATGGCATGGCCTCATGGCCTCTGGAACACCATGTTTTCCTTGATCTGCAACAGAAGGTGCTTCACAGTGATGTTCTTCCTCCGTGAAAAACACAGCGGTCCTCGCCTCCACACAGCTGTAGCTCGAGTGTTCGCTGCGCCGCTCCCATTGAGCGATCTGACCGGAGGAGCAGAGAGGAGACGTGGCTCACTGTGATGAAGATGGTGGTGAGTTTGAGAAGGAAGCCCTCTTTCCGAAAGGTGCCCATGGATTTGATGCGAACACCAGGCAAAACCTCAGTCTAGACCCTTGGCAAAAGGCGACTCCGTTCGGTCTCTCGGTCTCTCCAAACCGTTGACATTACCGGGTGACCATACAAGGTTTGCGGTCTACGTCTTCCTCCATCCTCCATCCTTCGCCTTGGCCAACTCCAAGTTCAGGAAGGGCCGCAGGCGCACCGCCGTCTGGACCTGACACAGGTTTGGTTGCTGGTCCGTCACAGTCGCCATCGCAGGTCCTCCATCCCTTCATGGTGATCCTCATGGTGATACCAGTGAACTGGAGGATTTGGCAGCTCAATGTAGCTCATCATTGAGACTTCAATCCATTCACTGCAGGATTGGTACAGGAAGCTGGCCGAAAAAATGGCCTCATAGTAGTCCTTTCTTCATTCCCTGAATTTTTCGCCACTCATTTCCAATGCTTGGTCGGATCGCCGGCCCCTTCGCCGCATGACCGCGGATCCTTCCTCTTCCCGTCCGCCGCGCCTTCTCGCCGAAGCTCCTCGGGCTCTTCTCAGCCCGTCCCGACTTCGTCGGGGACGCCGACCTGCGGACGCGGCGAGGTCGCCGGGGGGGGGCGCCACAGTGGCCGCTGAAGGTGTAGAGTTCAACTCAATCACCCAAATGCGACACATGGGACTGCCGGACTGCCGAGAAACGGCCAGGGGTGGTTTCAAGGGATCAATGTAGGCATATATATGGCACACATGGAGTGTCTGGGTAATATATGACCCACGAAAAAGCATTATTTCGTAGTGTATCTTGGTGGCCATCTTCTCTGAACTCACTGCAGTCCAGTCTGGGCTCACGCACCACGCGGTTCGCGCGGCTCGCGCCTCCGATACTTCAGCGAGTCATCTTGAGCCAGGGCAGCCTGTGCCGCGGCTGCATGGGCGATGTGAACGGCGCTGGTGTGCTGACGACGCGGGGGCGGCCAAGACCCAGGTGTGCTGAAGAAATCAAACACCCAAATCGGCCAAATCCCCCTGGAACCGGGCCATATACCCTAGGGCTCCTGTCCCATATCCTCAGAAGGTGGTTAGACCCCCCATACCTACCTCAACCATCTTCTCAGGAGGTGGACCAGAAGCCCACCTCCTGATATATATTCCCGAAAAAAGGGGGTCTTTGAGGGTCCAGGACCATCCGGCCGTTTCTCGGATGTCCTTTCGCCCCCAAGCAACGACCATTCTCTGGTTTCGTGCGATCTCACCTCCAAGACCATGCGAAAAGGAGGTACCTTGGACCCTATATGCTTTTATTGGGGTGCACTGACTCCCAGGCCGTTCCAGCCTGAAAATGGAGGCGAACCGAACTGTTCTCCTGTTGTCTTCGGGTTTTTACAGACTCGGCTCCTTCCTCCTCCTCTCCTCCTCCCTTGCCATGTCGCTCCTGCGGAAGGGTGGGGGCCATCTATGCTGCCATGACCTGCACGGCGAGGAGGGGGAGCAAACCAGGAGAAGGGTCCTTTCCTTCAGAACTACGGAACTGCCAAAGAGGAGAAGCGACTCCAAAGCTTCCAAGAAGCAAAGCAAACTTTGTCTTGAGTCCTTACTAGACCCTAGGGCTCCTGGCCCACCTCCTGAGAAGATGGTTGGGGTGGGTGCCAGGGGGTCTAACCACCGAACCTGAGGAGATGGGACAGTAGCCCTAGGGGGAGTACATTCAAACTCATCGACATGAAAGCTGAAAACAGCACCGGAGTCCTACCGCCACTTGTCTGTCAGAAACACTTCCATGTTTAGGGAACAACGGATACTGCTGTAGCTTCTCTCAATCATCACTCTTGGATATGCTGTCCAGGAACCGCAGGAAGCTGAGAAAAAAAGCAACAACTGCACTGCACTGCCCAATCTTCGTGGAATCGCCCAGTTTGGGACATGTGAAGAATTTCACCCCAGCCAAACCAGCCGCCCCCCGTTCGCGCTGCTTGCCCCGCCTGGGACCAACCGAAGTTGCTCCCTAGGAACTGAGCTTCTGAGCCAGAAGAGCAGCGCCGAAGAAGTGGATTGACGGTGTCTGGAGAATTCAGAAGCCATCTGAGGTCGAACCAGAACCATCTGAGGTCAGACCAGAACCATCTGAGGTCGAACCAGAACCATCTGAGGTCGAACCTATAGACCTCATGATGAGTCGCATGTTTACATGAAGAAAAAACACGCGCCACCGAGTGAAAGAAACACTTTTGCAACAATGACAACAACTTGGCGGAGTGGCATCCACATTGAAATCAAAGCCAACTAGAACCAATTGGAAGTCGATGTCTATGTTTGCTTAGTCCTCATGGGTAATGTGCTCATGTCCTTACCTCAGTGTAGATACACATGATGGCTTTGGGGAACGATGCCCAAGTGCTCATGTCATGTCAAGCAAAGAAGTCCCCTGTGTCCAATGGGACAATCTACACCGTCATGCTAGGGCTTGCTGGGATCTTGGTTCAGGCAGGCTGGGATCCTTGCTCCCAAACAGAAACAGAAGGGACTGGAACATAAGCCGCCCCTGGAATCATGATGATACTAGGTCTAGGTCTAGGTCCAAATCACCAGCATAAGCCAATACTGTGACCATTTTGCATACGTATAGGAAGACCTATAGGTCGGTGCAACAGGGTCTCCACCCCCCCGAGACCAGTCCAAGCACCAACCGCCTCTAGTGGACAAGGAGACCTGCCCGCGCGGGCGCGACATGCGTGAGACGCGGGATGCGATAGGTGGGGTCACTAGGTAGGGTCACTGGGTGTGGACTCCAACCTCGTTCGGTCTTGGTCAGCTTGTATAAATTATATACGCCTATACATATATATATATATAAGCCCTTGAGTAAGCCTATAGTTATACACCTTGAGTACGCCTTACGTCAGGTACCCCAGGAGTCACAGAGCTCGGAGTACTTTGGCTCGTCCCATCCGGTGGATGCGTGCTCGGGCCACCCCGGCCACCCCAACTCCTTCCTCCGTTCGGCACGTTCGGCACCCCGACATGAGACCTGGAGACGATCAGTGCCTTTGTCATTCATCGGCTTATAGGGGTATCTGTTTGGCAGGGTTACTATCTGTCTGTCCATTCTCACGCTGCGATGGTGTCACGCTGCTGACTTCTGCAACCATTCACAAAACATTCAGATACATTCCAAAACACAAAGTTTGGCAGTGTACAGCAGATTCATTGCCTCGGAAGTGTGGAGTACAGCAGATTCAAGTGCCTTCGGCTGTGTATAGAATCAGTGTTCAAACGCATGTTCTACCCTACGGAAAGAACCCCCTTGGTCGCTCCGAGTTCCAGCTCCCGGTTCGGGGAAGGGCTGGAGAGACCCAGTCGCTGCTCACACCATGATCAAACAACCCTGGTTGAATAGAAACATCATGAGCAGAATAAGCGACTACCAGGACCCTTCAACAGGAGGCCAAGCTTGGGGATCGCTCAGCTAACCGTCTGTTGTTGTCCGTTGGACCATCAAGCACGGGATGGTTGAAACCAAGCCGTATATAGGGCTCCAACCATATCCTCACAAGGTAGTTCAGGTAGTTAGACCTTCCTGGCACCCACCCCAACCACATCATGGGGATGTGGGACAGGAGCCCTATAGGGATATATAATTACTTTGCGAAAGAAGTATATAGACATGTATAGACGCAGATTCTCTAGAATGGCGGTTCAACTAGGACAAGTAAGACGTGTTTGTCGTTCTCGATATGCAAATCACTTGGTACCCTTGGCATGTCCTCCATCTTTTCGTCCGCGTCCTCGCATGTCCTCGCTCCTGCTGTGCTGAACGCGCCTGGGCTCTGCAGAACGCTTGAAGAGCCAAAGGACCAAGCGCCGGTCCTGGCGTGGGTCCACACGCACCTCTGGCCTGAGGCCAGGACCAGGGGAACCAGTTTTCAGGCACTCCCATAACCCCACATGAAGCAAACATCTATGCGGGTAGGATGGTAGGACCCAAAATACAAAGTTATAGGACTCGTTTGCAAGGAAATTGACTTCTATGTAAAGTTATGTAAAAAAGACAAACTGAAACTGAATGGAACCCTATAGGCCTCTTATTTTGACCCATGCACCACAAAATGTATGACTCTCATGCGACTCTCACAGTATTCTCAGCCTCTTTGGAGCATGTGGAATACAGGACATGCCGCGTGCACGAAGTTGAAACAACCATGGACCAGGCACGTGAATCAACGGAAGATTTGGAATGGCAGGACGTCTGGCCAATGCCAGGACGTCTGCCTACCTGGAATCTCAAAGTACCTTAGAAGATGGGATGTGACCCGAACCAAAAATAGAAATTATTAGATTGGCTCTGTACCCATCTTCCAGGTACCAACAGGTAGAATTGATGTGCTTCAGTCTGGCTCCTCTTTTCCCACCCCAAAGAGTCCCTAGTGCCTCAGAACCGGTGGCCACTAACCAATGGCTGGCGCCCGAGTTGCTGCCACTGTTGGAGGAACAGCAGCAGCAACAGCAGCAGCAGCAGCGGGACCTGCAAAGTGTTGCGAGTTCGAGGTTGGTCCACACAATGTTCAAGGTATCAATCCAGTCCCATGTGCCTCTTGCTAATTAAACCATATTAAACAGTAATTATCAGTAATCCATACCAATTACTCCTTCTGCAAAACAAAGAGGAAACCTCAACACGACCAATGAACAACTACCCAACATCTGCGATAACATGCTATGGGTGTGTACATGTGTGTACTATAGTAAAATAGGGAGCTCTTCCAGTTCGACCCCCTTGGAAGGAAGGGACGTAGACCGAACCCCAGGAAGGAAGGAAGGACGGAAGGAAGGAAGGGTCTCCCTGTTTTCCAATGCACACTCGTATATATACGATCTTTGGATGACACATGATGAAACAGCAGGAAAGTAGGCTTAACACAAATTAGCGGCTCTGTGGTTCAGGCTCACCCAAGCCCAGTCTTCTGGTCCTTATTTACCTCAGTCAGAGAAGTGTTGTGACCTTCGGTGCTCTATGGGTCCACATACCTTCTGAGGTACGGTGAGGAAGGAGACTATTTATACAGGCTTGGAGGGCCCAGTCATACCTTCTGATGTATGTGGATCCGGGGCAGGATCAACTCCAGGATTCCTTGTCCAACGTGGGTCGCCTCGAGCTGTTTTTGTTCTCTTGTTCCAACCCTCCGCCCAGCGCGACGGCTCAGGAGCCCGCCAGCAAGAGGTCTTCTTGGGCGGCGGAGACACCCTCGGCGCTCCCCCCACGGTGGCGCGCGCCACGGTGGCGCGGCGAGACTGGACCGAGAACCACTCCGCCACGTGGCGCGGATGTCCCAGAATTCGCGACCGTTCAGGAGCTAGCTATAAACCCTTCAGAAGCGCCAGCCTAAGCAAAGCAAAGGAAGAGGACTACCGAGGCCAGGAGAAAGAAACGAAACAGGAAACCCATCCATAGATCATAAGGAGGACAAAGATCTGAGGATGAGAATGACAGTAATATATAGCAAAGGAGGACGGAAATGCTTGGCAAAGTTAGGATGCGTTAGGATGCACATCGTGGCAACCACTGAATTCCTCTTCCTCATGACCTTCCAACTTGGTGCAGTCCAAACTGCAACTCTCTCCAATGCGACTTCGCCTGGCACCGCGAAGCGACGCGAGGTCGGCGGCACCACGAAGGTTGACCACTTGATGAGCAAACCCAGACGCGACACATGGGACGGCCATAGGACTGCCGCCCCATTGACCCCCAAAACCACCCCATGTATGGTGATTTCTTTATGGATGGACACTGAAGAATGCTGGCCAAAGCATGTTCACAATCAAATGTTTCACAAATCATGGTAGGGTATGGTGACCTTAACCGCCTTAACCTAAGGAACATGATTGACATCCGATTTGAAGCGTGGCAACGATGATTCACATCTGTCCATCTACATCTGCTCAATGCATTTTACATCTTCTGACCGTCCATCTACATATCCAAGACTCCAGCACGACACCCCAGCACCACGCGTAAACCGGTGTATGGTAGGGTGTATGGTAATACCAAACCATACCCTACCATTGATTTTGAACCGGTTATGGTTCCTTAGGTTAAGGTCACCTCCTTCACAACACCGGTGTCTTCACAAACACAGCATCGGTGCCTGACAAGTGGTCTTCAGCTTCGGCGACGCTGAGCTCTTGGGGCTCGCCTGAGCTCTTGTCGTGCCGTGCTGAGCTCTTTGGGCCTGAGTGACTGAGTGCACTAAATTCTAAATCCACACCAAATCACTTGAACGACAAACAAACAACACATGCAAACCAACCTTCCTGATCTTCCTGGTGGCTATATGATGATACGCTCTGTGAGCACCAGCACGGCACATCCAAACCAATCCGGCCCGAAAGGGCTTCCCTGCGCACTCCGCTGGAGCCTTCGGCTATGAGCTGTTCAGTGTCGGACAGCCAGGGTGGGAG